CGTTGGCTTGCTTGTCATGGGGGGACAACAGGGCTCCTGAGTGTGGTCCCTAGGTAAAGATAAAAGGAAAAACTAATTTACCTTGTTGCTGCTTTATATTTCTACCCACAAACTCCACCAAAAAGCTGTTCTGATGCGTGGCTCCGCTTAGGTGTAGTTCTTATTTTTTGTTTGCTTGTTTGTTTCATACAAAAAGGTTTCATGTTTATCCAGGCCTTCTATTACATTTGTAACCGATCTGATCACCCCACCCACCCCGCCCCCAGAAAAGAGTCAACACGGTGAAACACCCCCTTTGCACCTGAAATTTTTGAGTTTCTAATTCTCCCGACTAGACTTCTGCTTGGAAGATTGTGCATGTTTTGTTTTGTTTCTGCCCTAGAGAAATGATATGTGGTGAAATATATATGTGAGAAATATTAGTGCAACTGGGCCGAAACGGTAATTACTTGAGTATAGAGATTGTGTGCCCTGTAAACATGGCTCAGGTAATTGATTTCACACAGTACTGAGGGGATTTCCCTGTGCCAACAGTTTGGCTTCTGAATAGGTTTCCTTGTTACTAACTCAAGATTTAAATTCCTCCAAGAGCAGTATTAATGAGACCGTATGTGGAGGCCAGTTGCCTGCATTGGCAGGTGATGCACACTCCTGACCTGGGAAAGGTGATAGTCAGATTACACTCTCTGTGCAAAAAAGAATGCTACATGTGCAGCGTATTATCTGCAGGCTCCTAGGGGCCGTTCTAGCATGGTTGTCTGAGAGCCTACATTTGTTTTACCCCGAACGTTGGGGATCGTGCCCTCAGTCAGGGTTTGAATGCCCCTAAAAGACAAACCACACCACGTACCCTAGAATCCATTCCAACTTGCAGCGACCCTCTCGGACAGAGATGAACTGCCCCCTGAAACCCTGATGGAAGCGGACCACATCATATCTTACCCCGGTGGAGCAACTGGCAGGCTCGAACCTCTGATCAGTGGGCAACCCACTCCGCCGCCAAGTGGGATGAGTATTTGTGACTTCCTGGCAACCTTCTTCCTCTCCTTTTCTTCCTTTGTAATTGGCCGTAAGGAATCCTCGTGATGCAGTAGCTAAGTGCTCAGATGATGACCCAAAGGTGAGTGGTTTGACCGCAACAGCCGTTCCCTGGAGAAGGGTTTGGCGGTCTTCCCATACAAGCTACAGCCGTGGAAACCCTTCTACCCTGTCCCGTAGCGTCGCTTTTGAGTCAGAAACTACTCCGTGTCCGTGGGATTGGTTTGGTGTGCCAGTGGCTGGCTGGCTTGTTTTGGGTCGTGATAAATTTTTCCTTGTCTTGTCAACATTACTGTAAGTGGTCTCTGTTATTTTTTCCATCTAGAATTTTAAATAACTATTTCTTTAAAATTAAGCTTTTTGCTGCTATTATTTCTAGGCATTCATAAGAAACATTCATGTCTCCTTTAAGCCCCACACCAAACCTATTGTATGTGAGGGCACTGAGGCAGAACCAAGGGTCAGGGGCACGTGAGGCTTATGGTCCAATAACACATTGGGTCAAGAGGGCTCCCAGCTCCTCTGGGGCTCTTCCTTCTTTCCTGTATACAAGGGGGCTTCACAAAATTCATGGGGAAACAATGAAATTAAAAGATAATGGAATTTTCCCACAAACGCTTTGAACCCACTGCTTGTATATGCAAGGACACTCAAGAAGACTAATTAAATTCCTACAAAAATATAAATGGACACTATTCACTCGGCTGATCTTTATTGAGCGCCTGGTGTATACATTCTTACTGTCATCGAGTCGATGCTGGCTCGTAGCGACCTACAGGCCAGGAGAGAACTGCCTGTGTGATTCTGAGACTGTAACTCTTGAAGGGAGTACAAGACCCCTCTCCCAAGCAGTGGCTGGTGGTTTCGACATGCTGACCTTACAGATCACAGCCCCCAACACGTAACCTCTATGTCACCAGGGCTCCGCTGTGTACACGGATAGCATCTAAATTACATCATGAGCCATCTGGGAAGAAGACTTATGTTCAGTTACCAATGAATTCCCAAGGTTAGGATAGGGCTAGGCTAGAATGTGGGCTTAAATATTGAAAAGAAAATCATGGAGGCACCATGCCTGAGCCTTCTGGCATCCACATACCTCCCCTCCAAGACTAAGAGCCCCCAAATACAATCCAGAATGGGTTCCTACCTCACCCCCAGGGTATCTTAGAGCTAGACTTCTGACCAGGTTCCACGACTGGCCCAGTCCCCTAGTATGGGCTTGTTATTCTTTAGAGCGTTCCAGAAGAGGCCTGGAGTAGAGTCTCAGGAGCCAAAGCTCCAGGCCAGATTGCCTGTGTGTAACAGGCTTGTGACTATGGGCAGTTTCCTCATCTGTCAACTGGGGATAATCACAGCACTTAATCCACTGGTCCTGACTCACGTAGATGTTAACATTTGATGTTGATGTCCTACGGTAGTAATCAGGTCTGTAAATGGTAAAAAGCATACCCAATGCAGACATTTTAAAAGAATAGGGTAAAAATAGGAAGTCTCCTATTTCATCTCAGACCCATTGAGGGTCGGTCGTGAGCAGCCCACTGTGGATTCCACTGACCTGACGCATCATAGACCCGGGGAAGCCAAAAACGAAAAAAAAAAAATTACTGTATATACTCGTGGATAAGCCGAGTTTCTCTGCACATTTTTAATGCTGGCCAGCTTATACTCAGGCATATATGGTCCTCCTCCACCTTCTCTGTACTCCCCCGCTGTCTGACTGTATACCTAACCCCTGAAGTTCACAACACTCAACCTCCCTACATCATTCTAGTTTTGCACCCAGGTATTGCTTCTTGGCACCTTTTGTCTAAAAATGTACATTCTACCCTTCGTTTTACAAAAAGAACAAGGCGGGCGGTCTTGGGCTGGAATAGGCTCAGACGCCAGGGGAGGCAGCTGTGCTGGGAAGTAGAGCAGGCTGGAGCGTGGGTGGAGGCGATTGAGCCCAGGCTCTTCTCCCCCACCTACAGGAAGCCCTCCTGGCCCTGTTTGCTTCTCCAGCCAGAGGGCAACCCCTTGCACCTCTCCAGAAGACCCCAGACCCCATGGTGTCTGGGGTGCTCAGCTTCCACGGCAGCTGCCCCTGGCTGTCAAGGTCACATGACACTGGGCTGAGGCGGGCGTTCCTACAGAACCCTGGAAACAAAGGAGGCATCTAGGTTACACCTGCATCCAACCCGGGCCCTGGATTCTGTTACTTCCTTTTTAATAAATCCCTTTATGACGTTGAAGGAAACTTCTTAAGGTTTGAGCAGTAAAAATATCGCTGGAAAAGCTTGATCATCCTTATGACCGACCTTAAGTCACTGTGCTAGATGCCTTACACGTGTTTCTATCTCCGCCAACCCCCTGAGCCGCGCCAGGAAGGACTGTACTCCTGTGAGCACAGCCAGGTCCAGGCCTAGGTCCGCATACTGACTGCACCGCCGCCTTCCGGGGCCTGCCTGACTCATGGGGCTGTTAGGAACACGGTCGACCTGAGGGCCTGTTCACGAACATACTTTGTGAAGTCCAGTGCCGTGTGAGCATCGTCGCCATGTCACTCAGCCCCAGCCAGCAATAAATAGAGCTGGTAGTATGGAGTGTCGACTACATGCCGAGACTCTCCATGCACGCGCTTTCATTCTCACAGCCGTTTGCAAGGTGGGTCATGTGACAGGTAACCAGGAAATGCGTCGCTCGGAGATGGTGGAATGGGATTGATACTCAAGTATGCTCGCCTCCAACGAAATCTGACTTTACCCTCTCCGTATGCCCCCCACCTCCCTGAGGTTTCATGGACCCCAGAGACCTACTCAGAAACAGGGGCGGGGCTAAGGTCAAAGGCCTTCGCCAGCTCTTAAAGCTGGTAGGTAGCGTGTTCTCCTGGTGGATCGAGGTCCATGTAGAACACAAAACAAAAAGCCGGAAGAGCTTATGCAAATATATTCATTTAACAGATACTGAGGGGCACCTCCTGTCCACCAGCTCTGTCCTGCCAGGTCCACAGCCCGTGAGAGGTACAGACTTACACCGCCGAGCACAGCACTGGGCGAGAGGGCGCTGAGCGTTGCTGGGTCACCTGTAGGGTGGGACGTGGTAGAGATCCCGGGAGAGGAGAGAGGAGCAGCTTTGCAGAACACAGCATTGGGGCAGAGGGGCACTGAGCGCTCAGTATGTCAGGGCAGGGTGAGAACTCCTGAGGGGTTTGGCTCATGGAGCAGATGTTCCTTCTAGAAGGTACACAACCAAAGGTGGACAGACAGGAGCTGGTGAGCTGTTCATGGAGCCAGGTGAGCGATGGTGGAGTACATTTCCTGTGAGTTGGGGAGGTGGCCATTGTCTCAATTTACTTCCCCAGGGCTGTCAGCTGCAGGCTGCGGTTCAGGCAGGATGGTGATAAGCGGAGACTTAAGGTAATTGTCATTGTAGTCATTGCTTCATGTTTTGGGAATTAACTCAAAATCCAGCTGAGCACCAGACCAGCCCTTCTCTCTGGCCTTTTGGACTTTCATGAAAGCAGTTGATTGAGGCATTTTATTTCAGTGTCTGTTTTTAAAAAGCAGTTGTTTTTCCTCTGCAGCCGTATTATGCCCCTTGGCAGTGAGCTGGTAAGACAGGGTGCACACCAAGTATACTGGCGCATATTCGTGTGATTCCAAATATGCTCAGTGCCCAGATGAACTGGGTGAGAGCTAGGGCAGACTGGCAGAAGATGGCAGAGGTATACTGTGCATGCAAATTATCTTTGCCCCTTCCTCCATTTGCCGTTTTTTCTGGCATGGATGCCCCATGGATGCCCCGCCTTCCACAGAAATTGTTGTCTGGAGTTGTGAGCATTGATCTTAGAATAAACTCTGTACCCGATGTTTGCTCCTTTTTCACTTTCCGCACACTCTCTATTAGTAGTCTTCTCAATACTGAACGTTGGGCTTTTGTTTCTTCCCCTCCTTTTCCCCCTCTCCGGCGAAAACATTTAGGGTGAAGAAGCTGAAGGAGACCTTTGCATTTATTCAGCAGCTAGACAAAAGCATGAGCAACCTTCGCACCTGGCTGGCCCGCATTGAGTCCGAGCTCTCTAAGCCTGTTGTCTACGACGTCTGCGATGATCAAGAAATCCAGAAGAGGCTTGCTGAACAGCAGGTGGGAAATCAGAGGGGAGCCTTTGGAAGAGCAGAGCTCCCTGCAGTATCTGCGAGCTCAACCCATCTTCCCGGCTGGCTGTGTGTGCTTGCATGGTCCCCCCTTCATCAGATTAGCTTTTCTTACTGCCCCGCCCCCCACCCCCCCACCCCAGTAGGAAAGTGATCACTTGTCTGTGTGCCTTTGTGTGTAAGGCCTCCTTCCCTAAATACTCCACCGCTAGCCCTCACTAGCTCTTTGTGACCCTCGCTGTCGGAGAGATGCTTCGGATGCAGACTCTTGGTTTTCAGATTGTGTTTCTAACCTTCGTCTTTGACTTGGGTTGATCTAAGTTTAGTAGATGGCTTTAGTTCCTCTAGGACTGCTGTAACAGAAATGCCACCAGTGGAGGGCTTTAACCAACAGACATGTACTCTTTCACAGTTTCCTGAGCCCAAACACTCTGACTTCAGGGCGCCTACTCTAGGGAGCCAGCTTCCTCTCTCAGGGTCTCCTGATTCTGGGAGGGAGGCTCCCAGCTGAGGGTCCCAGGTCCAAAGGATATGCTCCCCTCCTGGCTCTTCACTCTCACTGGTACTAGGTACTCTCCTCTGCTTACTTCTCGCTCCTTGTCTCGCTTCTAAAACAAGGTAATGCAGGCCGGAGTCCCCTGAGATCAGACCAGGACCGGGACCTGATAGAGGGCATTACATCCCACCTAATCCCTTAACATGAGATCAGAGCTGTGACTGGAGTAAGCTCGCTGCATTCCACCCTAATCCTTTTACAACAGATTGGCTGATCACATCCTCAGGGGATTATTGCATCATTACATAACCGCCAGATTCCATCCTGAATGCCAGTGAGAATCGTGGTCCGGCTAAGCTGACATGTTTGGGAAGGACACATTTCAATCTGTGACAGGAGTGATAAATCGAGGGGGAGGCAGGGAATCTTTTTTTTTTCCACCAGGAGGAGCCCTGGTGCCACAGTAGTTCAAGTGCTCAGCTTCTAACCAGAAGGTCAGGGGTTTGAAGCCCCTGCTGTTTGTGGCACAGGAGAAAGTCAAGACCGTCTGTTTCCATAATGATTGGCGCTTTGGGAACCCTATGGGGCAGTTCTCCGCTTTTCTAGAGGGATGACATACCAGCTCCGGGTTTGGGTTTGGTTTTTGCTTTCTCACCAAGGGAGGCCTCCACGAGACAACCTTCTATGTGTCTAATCGAGCAAATACTCCAGAAGTGTAGCAGGAGCACCATGAGACCAGTAGCAGAGGCAGCTTTCCTGCAATGCACAGCCATCTCTTTCCTCCTTACTCTGAGCCACCCCTGGGGCTCCCAGTAGAAACCATTGAGTTCCACCAATGTGATCAGGAAGCAAACATGTGGCTAAGGTGTTGTATTAAATCCACGTGCCTGCCTTCGATTAGATCACACTCACACCCCCATGCTCACCTGCAGCGTCCGCTCTGTTTACTTTTTATTTTTGAAGTAGGTCTTTGCGATCTTTCAGCAACTTTCCTTCCCCTCTGTCTTCCTCAGATCTGTGTGCAGGTTCTGTCTCAATAAATCAGCGTATGGTTGCCATCAAGTTTTCTTTGTATTGAACTCCCACCACCACGTTCATCCTCACCAAAGCACTGGTGTTTCCCGAGTGTCGGCAACTTGGGGAAATTCACCTAGCCATCACAGCTTCTTGCAGACTGAACTGGGGACTGAACCTTTGTCACCAGATTCCGTGCAAAAGGCTACCCCTTACCGATACGTTTTCCTGAATTCAAGTCATTTCTTCTAACAGCATTGAGTGACTATGGCTGAGTAATTGATAGCCCCTTTCACTTAGATCTGTTTTCCATGCTGTTGGGGTTACTGTGTCAGTGATATCTATTCTCTGACATTCAAGTGAATGTGATTGAATACTGCTGCAGATTAAAAATACTGATTGTTTGCTAGTCTTAGAAGTTTAAAAGTGTCTTTTTTTTACTGAGATAACCCAAATGTTGTCTCTGTGAAGAAATGCTTATTGATTTTAGTATCATGGAATTCTAAAGTATTGATTGCATATACTCGAGTATAAGCTGAGTTTCCCAGCACATTTTTAATGCCGTTTTTATGGTAAAATTAGGTGCCTCGATGGACATTCAGGTCAGCTTATACGCGAGTATATACGGTACATTGAAAAGCTGCAATTACCAATAAATTCCTCTTCAGTGGGCCAACTCAACTTCATTCCAAACCCGATGAGTCACCTTCAGTACCACTCCATTCAGTTTGCTGGCCCCCCACCCCCACCTCTGCTCCATCCTTAGAACCATTCAGGAACCGCTGGCATGGTGCTGCCCACTTGTCTGCTTCTCTCCTTTCCCCACTGAAATCCTGTGCTGCTTCATCCTTTGCCCCGCCTCCTTCCTGGCTGCGTTCTCGTCTCATCTCCCCATCTCCTCTCACTGCCACCCCTTCCTCCTGCGCTCCTTCCCAGTCTCGGGAGAGCAGATAGACAAAACCAGGGCCGTGCCTGGAGCCTTTGGCAAAAGTCTTTGGTACCGGATGCATTGTCTTCCTGTTTCTCAAGTCTGGTTCTTGGGCGAGTGTGGACAATTCTGTGAAACGGATCATCATGCCCACTCACGCCTCGCAGGTGCTAGTGGCAGACTTTCCATTTGTGCGATGGTACCTGTCGAGCTCTTCCGTGTTTTACCTTAGAAACTCTGGGCGCCAACTGTATGTCATGTTTTGTAAGGTAGCTAGTTCATTGTAGGCATGCGTAGCACACTCTACAATGTGGTGTTCTGAGAAAGGTGTTATAGAAATTGTGGAAATATATATATTTCCTTTTAAACAATAGGATGCTGGGCTTTTGGAAGGTCCCGCCGAGCTCCCTTCTTGCTGCCTTTGGCTGTGTAGGTGACACACTGTTCCGCAGAAGCGGAATAATGCTGAGTCACTGCCAGGGGTGCAGGAAAAGCGTGAGAGCCGGGCCTCACCATGGGCTGGACTCTCCAGTGTCCCCACCTGGGCCCAGGCGAAACGGCAACGGGCAGGCTCTGCTTCGCAGTGGCAGTTGTCAGTGTTCGTCTTGGAGAACCACTGCTGGAGTTCCTTGTTCTTTTAGGAAAACTAAAGGGGTCATTTATCAATACCAGTCCATTCTAGCAAAGTCTCTGGCCGTTCTGTGAACCTGTAAGAATTCTTATAACTAGAATTCTTTTCACACTCTCATACAAAACTAGTCATCTTGGTGCTGGGGAAGCTCTTGCCACGGCAGGGTCTCGGGCGTGCATCCTGCATTTTGCAAAGACCCCACGCCCACCCCGTCACAGCGCTCTGCACAGGGACACTGTGACAAACCAGAAGACACAGCGTCCTCCGGCTGTAGCTTTGTGACCCTCGCTTTTCATCAGGATTGAATTGCTTGCCCTGCAGTTCAGTGTATCCTCTTATATCCATCTGAACACACAATGATCCAGACTGCCCATTTTACCAGAAGAATAAAAAGAAAACGTCCTTCCTTTCTAGGGGCACGAGGGCTATCTCTAGAATGATTGAGGTAGCTGGCAGCAGGGGGAGGGGGGTGTTGAAACGCTGCCCTTTGGCGGTCTTTGGCAGGTGCATATAAAAATAACCTTCCCCATACTTTGAATTTCCCTGAATCTAGGAAATTTTTATTGAGTGGCTTATTCAAAGTGCTGCAAAGTATCACACATACCCCCCCCCAAATTGCTGTAGTATTCAAAACTTAGAATTTAAGTTTGCTGTTTTACAGCAAAATGGTACATAAAATGTTATATTAATGTCAGTATAAACAAACAATAATATAAATGCTACATCTAAGAGTGTGACCTCAGGTCACACTATCACAGACTGCGGATGCCAGCGAGAGCCTAAAAGGCGTCCCGACTGGCGGGGGAGACTTCTCATCCCCTCGATCTGTCGCGGTGACGTGTAGAAGAAATACTCTCCGGGCCATAGCTGCAAACAAATGCCATGTGTAGGTGTTAACAAGTTCTCAGACCTTCCCCTCTGATCACGCGTTTCCTCTTCGTGAACATGACTCCTCTCAGACTGGGGAACGGCATCACTGCCGTCATCGTGAGACTCCATCCTAAAGGCCCAGCCACCGCTTCACCTGGACGCCTTCATTTTCGCCCTTTAGATGGGCACGTGGGAGACCTGGACACTCCAGGCGGCTGGCTGCATGGTGTGTGTGTGTGTGTGTGTAGGCAGGGGGATACCACAAAGCTCTTAGATTCAGTAGTTCTTCTGTTAAGTATAAAAGGCCTAGAGTACCTGCTGCTAAACTTGAGATTTAAACTTGACATCAGAAAATTCTCAATTTCCCTTGACACCGAATCTGCATGTTATGGAGTAGGTCCGTGCATAACCAAAGTTGGGGGCCTGTGAGCTCTCAAGGGCTCCCCCATCAGTCCCCCCACTGCCATCCCCCTCTACACACACGTTCGTCAGCATCACTCAGCCCAGTTGTCAGTTCTCAGGCTTTGTGCTGGGTGATGAGGAGGACTTGGCTGGCCGGTGCCTCTGGTTCCAAGGTGGAGATGCACCACGGCTGTCCCCCTGGGCTGCAGAGAGGGAGGAAGAAAGTGGAGACCCTGTGATGCCAATCTCCCACGGCTTGTCTTGCCCCGCTGTGACCGTAGGACCTGCAGCGAGACATTGAACAGCACAGCGCAGGGGTGGAGTCGGTGTTCAACATCTGTGATGTCCTCCTGCACGACTCTGACGCCTGTGCAAACGAGACCGAGTGTGACTCCATCCAGCAGACCACCAGGAGCCTCGACAGGCGCTGGAGGAACATCTGCGCCATGTCCATGGAGCGCCGAATGAAGTAAGAGCCCGGGTGCTCCCTGCCGACCTCAGTACAAGCAGCTGGGAGCAGTCACTGCGTCCAGGAAAGGGCCAGGTGTCGGCAGAGAGCCTCCGCGAGCGTGGCCAGTGCCTGTTGGATGGGTGAAGGAAAATACCACCAGGGTGCTGTGTCTCAGGGTGTCCCTGTGGGCTGACCCCTTTTCCTTCAGGGAGCAGCTATTGAGTAGCTGTCTCCTGAAGCCAGAGCGCTGAGGGGCTTGGCACTCCCGGGAGGAAGAAGCCGTGACCTGGTTCTCTCCTGGAAGGGCTGGGGACCGGTGTGTGTGCCAGTGGGCATGGGAAAGGGGCGTCTTGGGCCGATGAGGTACCTGGAGGCGCAGCTGAAATGGACGGCATGTCCCACCGGCTTTCCTTCCTTCAGGATTGAAGAGACGTGGCGCCTGTGGCAGAAGTTTCTCGATGATTACTCCCGCTTCGAAGACTGGCTGGACTCTGCCGAGAGGCTGGCAGCCTACCCGAATTCCTCAGAGGTGTTGTACACAATTGCCAAAGAAGAACTGAAGAGGTGTGAGGTAAGCGCCTTCGCCTCTTGGAGCAGCTCGGCACAGGCGTTGCCAGTGGCTCCTGCTGCATGGCCTCCGCCCCCCACCACGGCGTCACAAGCGGCCACCAGCTGCCGTGCAGTGACCGTGACAGCCCGGTCTTGGTTTACCGTTTAAAACCTCTTCATGTCAGTGCTTAGTGCGGCAAAAATACACACGACACAATAGTTACCAAGTCACCGAGTTAATTGTCCACGTATCGTTGAGTGCCATTGATAATGTTCACCATGTGGTGATGCTACCACTGTTAACAAAGACTCAGACATGCCCCCCCCATAGGCATTGAACCCCCCACCCCAGCCACTACCAGTAAGCTTTAGGACCAGGTAGTGTGTGTCCGTGTGTGATGGGCTGACCTCGCTCAGCGTGTCCTGAAGTCACGTCCACGTGGCAGCCTGTCTGTCTCAGGGTTTGATTTCTCTTTGTAGAAAGCCTGTTCTTTTGCTTAGCCTCTGAAGGATGGGTGGAGTAAGCTCTCTCTTGCCATTTCAGGGTGGGGATCCACCACTCAAAGCAGGTCATGCGGGGTCGCAGGGGGTGCCTGGCACATGTTCCTGCTCTGGCATCCCCACCCCACTCCCACCCCCACCATGGTTGAGCCTGACATGTCCTGGGCACTGAATGGATGTCGGGGTCGTCAGGTGGCCGGGAGAACGAGGAGAGCTGCAGCAGGTGCTGTGGCAGACGGGGACCCCTTCTCTCTGGGTGGCAGGCCTTCCAGCGGCAGATCCACGAGAGGCTCACGCAGCTGGAGCTCATCAATAAGCAGTACCGGCGGCTGGCCCGGGAGAACCGCACCGACACGGCCAGCAGACTGAAGCAGATGGTGCACGAGGGCAACCAGCGCTGGGACAACTTGCAGAAGCGGGTCGCAGCCGTGCTGCGGAGACTCCGGGTGAGCGCCTCCCCGACCCCCGGCTCTCCACCGTGCGTCGAAGCTGGGGGCGTGCTGGGCACAGCCAAGGCTAGAAGATTTCATGGGGAGGTCAAAGCTATCTTTGCTCAAGCCCAGAGCTGCCAGCCATCATGCCTCCTAACGTGGTGTTTGCAACTGGGACTCTAGGCAGAACCTATTTCCGGGATTTGTTTTGCAAGCCATCCCTTTCTAAGGCTTCTGGAACCCCCAGAGGCATGCACGTCAGAGTCTAGAAGCTGCGTTCCTGGTCTGGGGAAAGTGCAGTCTGAGAAACTTCAGGAAGTCTTGGCTTTTGCTCAGTTCTCTGTCCCGTTGCATCTTGCACTGGGGGAAACCTGGACAAAGCACACTGGCCCCTCGGCATGGTAGCAATTGGGGGCAGGGAGTTGCCTCTGAATCTCAGAGCCGGCTGCCTCACTGCAAAGGCTGGGTTTCGTTTGTGACTGTAGACATTCACCTCAGCTTCCTGTAATTCAGAAGATGCAGTATGCAAACCTTTGGAAAATCCAGGTATAAACTGACAGGACTGGTGTGGGGCGGAGCTGCAGGAATGAATGAATTTTAATCCCTGCCTGTGTTCTCAGGACAGAAAGTTCATGAAGCCAAGAAAGGAAGTTGAGAACCTGGGTTTGGTATGGTTTTTTAACCCTCTTAGGAAGAAATCGGCTAGCTTTTGTGATAATTCAGAAACCCCGTTGTATTAATTCCTTATATTCTGGCTTAACTGTTAACCACCCTAAAGCTTCCCTGGGCACAGAATGCGACATTTGTCTGAGAACTGCCCATCTTTGGGGCGGGAAGCTGAGAGGCAGGTATCTTTCCATGGAGGTGATAAAGCTCCTCGGGCCAGAACCACGTCCATAGAGTCAAATGCAGCACGAGGCCAAGCTCTGCCCCGAGAGCAGTGCTTTTCCGTCTTGAAGCTGCGAGGCCTTCTGTCGCCCAGCACTTCTGCAAAAACTCGTGGGTCAAAACAGGCCCAAGTGCCAGCCTGACCCCCCAAGGAGCTCCTCACAGGAGAGACCAGAAAGCTCACTGATGACTGGAGCGCCGTGGGCCTGTATTTTACAATAAGGACCGTGCGATAATCCACATGAGGCCCAACAACCCACCTTTCCCCAAAAGCTGAGTGAGAGAGACAGGTGGAGACGGGAACCGAGAGTAATGAATGGAAATGGAACAACCGGCAGGGAAATGAGAATGTTGGCCCAGTGTGGAAAATATAGCCAGTGTTCCTGAACAGCAGGAACCCTGGCAGTGTCGTGGGTTACACATCGGGCTGCTAACCGCAAGGTCAGCAGTTCGAAACCACCAGCTGCTCTGTGGGAGAAAAAGGAGGCGTTCTACACTTGTCAAGAGTTACAGTCTTGCAAACCCACGGGGTCAGTTTTTTTGGTGTGCTTTGAATGTGCTTTGAAGTGGTTAAACAGGAACCTAAAAACCTCACCAAAACACAACATAAAGCTAGATAGGTAGATATATAGATGCATGCACATGCACACACAATGAAATATATACGTATATTTTATTGTGTATATATATATAATATGTTTTTCATTGTGTGTATATATATATAGATTTCATAGATTTTAAATTTTACCCCTAAAGACAAACAAATCACTGATTTAGGCTAGAGAATTGCTGTTTCCAGCCGTTAGAGTTCATCCGGTCGCTCTCCCTCCCTTTCGAGTGAAGAAGTTGGGGCTCGGGATAGCTAGGAGGCAATGCCATGCAGCCAGGAATGAGGAGAGCCCAGCCTGCTGCCCTGCCCCCGCCCTGTGGCTGTGGGGTTTTGCAGATCTCCTGGGACCCTCCCCAGACAGGTTTCTCCCCTGGTGCTCTGGCCACCCTATCCTTTGGCCCTCCAGGGACCTTGCTGTCTGGCTGAACTTATTCCACGGCCCACACAAACATGCACTGCTGTTTCTCGCCCCCCCTGACAGCATTTCACCAACCAGAGGGAGGAGTTTGAGGGGACCAGGGAGAGCATTCTCGTGTGGCTCACCGAGATGGACCTGCAGCTGACCAACGTGGAGCACTTCTCTGAGAGTGACGCTGACGACAAGATGCGCCAGCTGAACGTAAGCATCGCTGCCTCGGCTCCTCTGTGAAGGATGCACCTCTGCAGAGGTCGAGCCTGCCACCCCCAAACCTCCCGCGACAAGCTAGGACCACATTCCAGAACAGTTAGAGCAGCCAGAGTTCACCTGCCACAGGCTCATTTGTCTTGTTGTCATTTACAGTCAACCAGTAGGAGGATGCTCCCACGGGGCTCCACACAGAAGCTCATAAGATGCTGTTTGGGGAACGGTGGGGCCAAGAACAGACACCTTCTGTTCTCCCACCGTTAATGAACCGCATCAGTTCAGCGTACAAACAGCAGCTGGACTCACGGGGACCGCTCGTGTGCCGGAGTAGCATGTGCTCCGGAGGGCATACTCTTGGCTGACTGCTGAGACGTTCGCTGCCGGGCCGTGCTTTAGCAGCGCCTCCGCGTGCCCTTCAACCTGACCTTTCATTTAGCAGCCCACCATGTCCATAGTTCCCGCTACCCAAGAACCATCGTCGCACTCTAGTTCCCTCTTGGGTCAGGTCTTTGAAGAGGTTAAGAAACAAGAGTGTGCCTTGCCAGAACTGTATATATATGGCACACACTTGGCGTCCACCAAAGTGACTGCCTGCCCGTTGGTGGCTTATCACAGGAAGGTTTCTGTGCCCACCAGTCCCTGATAAGACAGTCTCGTTTTCACACCTAGTCATTCTACATAGCCATCGTGCTTAAGCATTGGGAAGGATCTTAAACGGAAGAGTCAGTGCCCAAAAGGAAGTGGGTGGGGGTGCACGATGTGCGTACAAACTTTACCAATGATTAAAATTCTGTCGTCACTTACAGACTTGATAAACCCTGCCGTCCTCACTGAAGGGACCAAGCAATGGCATTTTGGTTTTGTCCCCATCATGTCCGCCCCCGCCCCATTGTGGTGTGTAAGAAACTACTGGGAGCCCCCAGGAAAATCCTTCTCTCTTCATATTCCAAATAGGGCTTCCAGCAGGAGATTACATTAAATACCAACAAGATCGACCAGCTGATCGTGTTCGGAGAGCAGCTCATCCAAAAGAGCGAGCCCCTGGACGCGGTGCTGATTGAGGATGAGCTGGAGGAGGTGCACCGGTACTGCCAGGAGGTGTTCGGCAGGGTCTCCCGGTTCCACCGGCGGCTGACCGCCCGTGCTCCGGTAAGGGGTCGCTGGGCCACTCAGCGTTTACCGTTTGGATTTGAACAACCTTTGGGGGACGTAGCTTGTAAAATGGCCAGCTCTGATGTATTCAGTGCTATCCAATATACAACGTGTGTCTTGAGTTTCTTTCATTTCCACTGTTGTCGCTGGCTCTTAAGCCACAGGTGTCCCCGCCACAGTTCCTTAGCCGTTTCCCACCACCCAGCAGGGAGGGCAGAGCACTGCTGAGAGCCCTGGCTTCTCGTAGGTGTTCGCAGTATCATCTTCAGGACGGCTTTTCTGGCCTGTGTCCGTACCCCTAGGAGCAAATGATCCTGGCTCCGCTGTGCTAGGCTTGGGCGTGTGCACCCCTTTACCGTTATCTCAGGGCCTGGGAGCTTCCATTATAGCCTTGCTTTTCAGGTACGTGGTTCTCACCTTTGAAATGCCAAATGCACTGCTTTTGAACAACTTTGATCTTCCCTGGTGACAGATAGCGGGGTGAGGGAAGTTCAGGTGGCGCTAATTAAAGCTATTCCTCTAAGGTCACTGACCTTGTGGGCCTGGAGTTTTAGTCTGGATGCTCAGTGACCAACAGCACTGGCCACTTGTTCTTTGTTTTCTATCCCCAAGTGGTCAACTTCAAATGTGTCTGTGTCCCTGTCAGAAAGAGCCTCAGCAATTACCCTCTAGCTCCCTCATTTTTAAATGAGCCCCGGTGGCTGCAGGGTCAGCAGTTCGAATCCACCAGCCCCACTCAGCAGGAGAATGAAGAGGTTGTCTACTCCCATAAAGAGTTGCAGTCTGAAAACCCACGGAGGCAGTTGGACCCCGCCTTAGAGGGACGCTGCGGGCCGGCGCCAACTCGGGGGCCGTGGGTGCGGGAGGTGTACTGAGGCACTACTGCTACCCATGTGGGTGCAGCCACTGAGTGATCAGCACTGGGCACATGGGGTCCCTGAAGGTGCGGGACTCATCCAGAGCATGCTAATGTCCTTTTGCGTGTGTGCTCTGCGATGGCTTGGTTCCTGCCATGAATTATCCCTGAAACGTTGGCTTCCATTTTCTTCTAGAGTGGTGGTGCGCAACCTTCCGAATGCCGTGCCCCTTTCATACAGTTCCTCATGCGGTGGTGACCCCCGACCATAACATTATTGTCGTTGCTACTGTTATGAATTGTAATGTCAATATCTGATACGCAGGATGTATTAGGCGACCCCTGTGAAAGGGTCGTTCGACCCCCAAAAGGGTCGCAACCCACAGGGGGTATTAGGTAAAATTTGTTTTCCACCTAGCTGATCAAATTTCATTTCCCCCCAGGAAGGGGGGGGCCATGAAGCTTTGGGGAAATACTGATTCTAGTCTCCGTTTCTGAGCACCACCCCGAAAGAGCCGTTCTCAATTGACGTGGGTCGGGGAAGGTTTGAGTTCCTTTCCAATCTGCCTTAGGGATGGGGAAGGGCAGCCACCTTCTTCCTGTCGGACGGGCGCCGAATTCTAACGCTCCCGTCTGCGGTAGGAGCCTGGGAGCTGGTCATTTTTTGAAAACCGTCTCCCCTGTTGTCAGCAGGGCTTGGAAGACGAGAAGGAGGCCTCAGAGAACGAGACAGACCTGGAAGACCCCAGAGAGATCCCCGGTGACGCTTGGTGCAAGAGAGGGGAGAGCGAGGGGCCCTCGTCCCCGCAGTCCCTTTGCCAGCTGATGCCCCCGGCACCGGGGCACGAGCGGTCTGGCTGTGAGACCCCCGTCAGCGTGGACTCCATCCCTCTGGAGTGGGACCACACAGGGGACGTGGGGGGCTCCTCCTCTCACGAAGACGACGAGGAGGGCCCGTACTACAGCGCCCTGTCAGGTGAGTGTCTGGAAGTGGACCCATTCGGCGGTGTTTTCGGTCCTTCAGGACTCAGTCAGTCCTCGGTGATCGAGGGTCCACTCGCCAGCTTGTGGCTGATCCGGGCTTTCTGTGGCTTCTTCCATATGCTCCGTCCTGCCCACTGGGCCGCCAGCTGAGAGGCGGCTCCCTGAGGACGGGCCCAGTCAGAGAGAGGACATTCATCTGGAGACCGTGGCCCTCACTGACGGCTCTGGGCGCTGACCAGAGGGTGGCCTCCAGTCTCTGTCTGGCCTCCCTCTCCCCTGCCACTGCCTGGGCCGGCCCGGCCGGGCTGGCTGAGCAATCCTGCTGGGGTCTCCAAGTCTTTCCCTCCACAGGGGAGCAAGTCTGTCTTTCCTCCAGCTGACGACGTGTCTGCTGTTTTAGCGTAACTCTTGGGCATTAATCCACGTGCTCCTCCAGTGAGGAACATGGCGTTATTCTTTTTCAGATGTAGAAATCCCCGAAAACCCTGAGGCCTATCTTAAAATGACCACAAAAACTTTGAAAGCATCTTCTGGTAGGCCCCGCCCCCGCCCCTGCATGCATCTCAAACGTGGCAGCACGCTGCAGCGCGCACTGCACCCGCAACCCGCTCCGTCTCCGTGTCATGTCTGACCTCCGCCTTCCGTGGACACCATGCGCCTCGGCCCTCGCGTCATGGTGTATTTACACTGCCATACTCACACATACCCGCGTGCTTGTGACAACCCCCGCAACCAGCGCCCTCCACGCCTCCCCTCCCTTCCCGTCAGGGGTTCTTCGTGGTGCCCGGTTTCTGTGTCCTCCACCTGACTGCTGAAGTCCTGGGGCCCAGACCTAACATCCTTCATGGCGGCTTGGTTTGGCACGGTCGCCTGGCTTAGGGTCATTTCCTGGGAAGCGGAGGAGTGGGTGGGTGGGAGCAGAGGTGGCGTCGGACTTGTGGTCCACGCAGACGGCCTTTCGCAGATGTGTGGCTCTAAGCTGCCTTCGCTGACCCACCCCAAGTGCAGTGATGGAGGCGAGCCACGGGCGGCCCTTTGGTTCCCAAGTCCACCTGGACACACTCTCTTCCTCGGACACCCGAGAGGCCTTCTGGCCCCTTGGTCCCCAGACCCAGCCTTGCAGCTCAGCGTCACCACCTCCGAGCCCCAGCTCCAAAGACCCCTCCACCTGCAGCAAGTCATTTGTGTGTTGTCCTCCGTCTAAGCCCATCTAGCGAAGGCAGTGTTGTCCGGTTGCATGTCTCTCATCTCATGCCCGCCTGGGACATACTGACATTTTGCAAACATGCATGCTTTGCAAGAGAAGCTGCAGAACTCGTTTTTTACACCATAACCCGATGCCGCCTTACCCATGACTGTTCTCTGTGTAACCAAACACCAACGTTCGCCTTCACGGGAATGGACCGTCCCTTGCCTTCTTTGTTTCAGGCCAGTCCCTTTCTGAGAGCCACTCGTGGCATGTTCCTGACAGCCCTTCCTGCCACACGCGTCCCTACAAACCGAGGGAAGGTGACAGGAATGTGCCGCCCATCCCCTCGGATGCCAGCACCCCTTACAAGCCAGACTACGTAAGTCTTGACCCCCAGTCCATGCATAATAGATACTTGGATAGATACTCTGTGCACTCCCTCCCGAGGAGCCCTGGTGGCATTGAGGTTACCTGCTGGGCTGTCGGCCATAAGGTCAGCAGTTCAAACCATCAGCTACTCCACGGGAGAAAACGGGGCTTTCTGTGCCCATACAGATTTCCAGTCTCAGAAACTCACAGGGCTGGTTCTACCCTGTCCTGGACGGCCGCATGAGTGGGCATCGACTCAATGAGAGTGAGGTTTTTGCTTTTGAGGGCGCCCTCCCCAGGCTCCTGTTTGGGTTGGCTTTCCCTTGGTGACGCTATCGGTGCTGAGCCCTGGAAGCACTGACCAGCTCTATAGACAGTTTCTGACCCCAAACCAACCGTGTGTGTCAGCACTGAGCCAACGGCAGTTATCGCTGTGGTCCGTCACCATGCCGATGGTGGAACATTGAAGGGCCAGCTTCCAGAACAGCTCCCGAGAACTCAAGCCTTTACATTCGCCTTTTAACCATCCAGTTCATCCAAAGACGTGAGACTTGCTGTTTAAAATATTTGGCAGTGGGTTGACTCCTGAACTTTGTGAGCCTGGGCTTCCTCATCTGCAGATAATCCTACTTCACATGATAATTGTTGTTAGGATGAAGGCATCCAAGTTCAAATCAAGTGCGTAGTACAGAGAAGACCCTCAGAGGTGGCCATCCATAGTATTCCTCGCATAGGGCTGCTGTGAGTTGGCCTTGACACTATCTATGGCAGGCGTCCTCAAACCAAGGCCCGTGGGCCACATGGACATTTATCCGGCCTGCTGGGTGTTTTTGACCCGTTTGGTTTTTTACTTCAAAATAAGATATGTGCAGTATGCATAGGAATTTTTCCATAGTTTTTTTTTTAAACTATAGTCCGGCCCTCCAACGGGTCTGAGGGACAGTGAACTGGCCCCCTGTTTAAAAAGTTTGAGGACCCCTGATCTAGGGTGATGAGTTTGGTGTGGTGTGATGCGTTGTAGTTGTTCATACCTGAAAATGCTTGCTCAGGTGTGTATACACCCCACCCCCAACCCCGCAGCCTCCACCAGTTACCTGTTCCTCAGGTAACAGAGTTCCTTAGGCATGCTCTGATGGGCAGGAGCTGAGGGGGAAGCCAGCCTAGGGTTTGACGGTGGCCCCGGGTCATTCAGAGGACCAAGATTTTGAAGCAAAGGCGTTGAAATGTCCGTTAGACCCAAAGCCATGTAGGCGTCACGGGGTGAGTTCTCGAATGCCCTTCGTCTAGGAGTGGAGATTGGTAAAGGATGGTGTGCGCAGGGGCCTCCTGTGCTCAAGTCAGAAACTGCCTCTGGCTGAGCAACAGCTGTCCTTTTCATCTGCGCCTTCCGTTGTGTGGCATCAGACCTGCCATCCTAGGGGACACAGACTAGCCCGCGAGTGTGACTTCCCCTGCAGGGCCCTCGTGGGGTGGCTCCTCCCGTGATTCACTTGTTCTCCCTACAGCGGGCCACTGTCAACAAGCCCGGCCCTCACTGTGTCAGTAACCAGGTATGCACCACAATTCTGAAGGGTGTTTTCGTTCCACACAAATAGGCCATATGAACTCAAGCCAAAGAAGGCATGACTTGACTTTTAAAAAACAAACATTTGGGGGTGGGTGCCTTCCATATCATAGCCCCATCCGGGCTGGGCTGCTAGAAGAACCCGTATGTGCAGTAAAAGCTAAACTCTTGGTAATGAAAGACCTGAGAGCCGTGTTTCTCAGCCTTCCTGATGCCACAACCCTTTAATACAGTCCCCATGTTGTGGTGACCCCCAACCATAAAATTATTTTCGTTGGTACTGATAACAGTGCTATCAGTTGTAGTCTAGATGTAAGGGGTATTCCTTAGCTATTACTCTTGCAATCACTACTGTTATGAATCAGGCAACCCCTGTGAAAGGGTCGTTCGACACCCCCCAGAGGGGTCGAGACCCACAGGTTGAGAACCGCTGCCCCAGAGGCAGAGTTGCCCTCTCCACAGGGTTTCCCATCCCCAGAGCTCATAGTGCCAACCACCTCTGCAGAGCGGCTGGGAGGCTGAGTAGGAACCTGTAAGACACTGTGCTCGCGCAGAGACAGCCTCGCAAGCTCCTCGGTTCATGCTTCCTGGGCCCGGTCCTTGGAGGAGCGTTGGGCAGCCTGCACCTTAAAGCAGTCCATTTTATCTCTGTCACTGCCATTTGGTCTGCTTTCCGCCTCGAGGGCCTTTGCCAAAGCTCTGTTTCCGTCATTAGCTCTGCTTGCTGGAAATGCTGCCTACTTAGGACAAGGGCCCTGAGCCTTCCTGTCTTACCTGTTCTTACAGACCAGAGAAGTGGGTATCCACTGGGTTGCTAACCTCAAGGTCAGCAGTTGGAAACCACCAGGCACACCTGTAAAGAGCTACAGTCTTGGAAAGCCGCCTGGGGACAGTTCTACCCTGTCCTAGAGAGTGGCTGTGAGTTGGAACCAACCTGAAGGCAGTGCACTTGGCTTTGTTTGGGGCTTGCAGAGTGGCCAGGCTGCTCTTCCTTCTTGTAAAGTGGCGTTCAGAATGAGCTCTAATCTTTCAATGGTAACTTAAAACGTGTTTGTCTCTAGGCAAAGCTGCTGTTATCTTCGGGCACCACCGGTGGCAAAGAAGACCCCAGAGGCGTGAGCTGCAGCCCCCAGCAGGAAGACGCAGGGCAGGCGGGGCAGCAGTCAGGTAGATCCAAACGGAGGTCCTCAGTCGGAGGGGCAGGGTCTAGATTTCCAGCTGAATGGGGCCCTTCCGTGAAGTTGGTTGCTCAACAGAGCGCTCATTAGCAGCTGACTCCACATCACTCGCAGACACTCCTGAACTTCCTTCGACAACCGTGGGTGTTACTTTAAAATCTGCTGAGCTGTATTTTATCACCTAATCCCCCAGGACTGAGCACGTTGCTTCAAAGCTCTTCTGTAGCCATAATCCAACGAGCATCATGTGATGAAGTGCATATTTTAAAGACTGCACTTGTGTGTAAAGGTCAGCTCAGTGATTGCAAGAGCAATAGCTAAGGAATACCCCTTACAGCTAGCCTACAACTGATAGCACTGACCTGGTGATTCATGGACTACGGAGGAAGCCCCTCGACGGCAGTGTGCACTAAGCACAGAACTTTAGACCACACCACATACTGGCAGCGAGCTGGGTTTCCTCCCCACCCACCCACCCCATTCCAGCCTTGGTGGGAGTGGAGCAGCACAGACCTTGAACCAGAGCCCGGTAGGGGTGCAACTGCACACTCCAGGCCAAGAGAGAACTCCCAACTCCTGCCCCTCCCGAAAGGTTTTTGCCCCCACTGACCCTTAATTGGGAGCAGAGACGCGTGTGCAGTTTTGCTGGTTTTTAATTGGCGGCTTCTTATCCCAGGTGCCTTTGAGAGATGGGAGCTGATTCAACCCCAAGAGCTCCACCACAAGCGTAGAATGAAACAAAACTTGCAGCAGCTGAACTCTGACATCAACACGATCACCGCTTGGCTGAGAAACACCGAGGCCGAGCTAGAGACACTGAAGACGGCACCGCCTGCGCCCAGACTCGAGGAGCTGGAGCTCAGGGTGAAGAGACTGAAGGTGAGGTCAGGGTCTGCTGGGAGAGAGGAACTGAGACCCTGTGAGTGGCACACACTGCACCTTGCAAATGGTGTCAGGTAGGGGCCAACCTGTCCATCACTCTGGTCACTCACTGGTAATGCCACAGACACAGATTTCTTTTTTTCATACTGAAGAACATCTATAAAGGACCCACCACCCCAAGTGTTGAAAAAGTCAAACCTCAGAGACATCTCTCGATTCTGGGCTCTAGGGGTGACTTCCAGCAACTTATATGTCACACTGACTCCCATCCACCCTTCCAAGTGTGCGTGAGGACGCCTGTCCAGCTCAGAGGTGGAGCATCTTGGAAAGGCGGGGTGAGGAGGACTGGCGCACTCCTGGAAAGAGTGCTGGGCAGTGAGGATTTGCCACCCACAGAATGAGCCTTCCAAACCCTGGGATGAACCTTGAGGCCAGGAGTGGCAATGTAAGGCCTGTACGTTGGAGTGCTCTGAGCGTGAGCTCTGGAGTGGCCTGGAGCCCATGGTCTGGGGGTAGCTGGGCACTCTTGTTACTTTCGGAGTCCCTGGGTGGTACGAACATGCTCAAATTTTAAATGAAAGGCTGGAGGTCCAAGTCTACCTGGAAAGTGCTGCCAAAGAAAGGCCTGGTGGTCCACCTCCCTCCAACCAGCCGTTGAAAACCCTGAACACCTTCGTAGTGTGTGTTTCCCCCACCCCCCTACCCCAGGGGGTTTTCATGAGTCAGAATCAGCTCGACAGCAACTACTATTGAGTTTCAGATCTTCACCTTTAGTGGACTCTCTGCCATGGTAAGTTAGGGGTCATTATTCATCCTTAGGAATACCATTTGTGATTTAAGAAGACAAACAAGCTGAGGGCCATTGAGTTGATTCTGACTCATAGCGACCCTGCAGGGGGCCAGACCTGTCTGTCCCTCTGGGTTTCCGAGACTGACTCTTTCCAGGAGTGGAAAACCTCATCTTTCTCCCGCAGTGTGGCTGGTGGTCTGGAACTGCCTGCCTTAGGATCAACAGCCTAACTTGTAACCACTACGCTACCAGGGCTTCTGCTTATTTGTGCTACTTGGGGGGCCAGTGCCAAGTAACTGGGTATATTTTACCTGGGAGACCTAGAATTGTAACCTGGTCTAAAGTCTGTACTGAGCCCTCCAGCGGGCAGAAGCTGTAGAGGTCAGCAGGGTGAGTCAGCACCTGGAACGAGGCCACTGGCCCTGCCTGTGGCTGAGTTCACCGACCTTGTAAGGCAGCTCCTCATCTGACGTCTCCCAGCCAGTCATGGGCGAGGTCACTCTTGTTTCTGTGGCTGCAGCTGGGGAAGCGTTTGGAAGATCTATTCCCTAGTGCGGCCCGAGCGGAGCCCCCCAGGATGCTTTCCAGAGCGCCTCACCTGGTCTTTTCCCTCTTCCGTAGGAGATCGTAAAAGCCTTTGGCACCTCCAAGGCACTGATGGCCTCCGTGAACTCAAGCAGCAAGGAATTCCTGCTCGCCGAGAGCACCGAGCCCAAGGACCTCCAGAACAGGCTCCACCAGCTGAGCCTGCACTGGGAGGCAGCGCAGGGGGCCGTGGACCACTGGAGAGAGGGCTTGCGGCAGTCGCTCATGCAGTGCCAGGTACGCTGACTGGGCGTCAGGCCACCCGGAACCAGTGCCCTGAGCACAGCAGCCAGGCTCCCGGGCCTGCAGAGGTGGAAGAAGCCAGGTATTTTTATCGCAGGCAGGCTGCTGCTCTGGCCTGAGTGAGGAACCGTGCCTTTCCAAAGACACGCCACCCACCTGCCGCCTAAGTGGCCTGCAGTTCGTCAACTCCTCCTCCACACAGGGTTCCAGCAGGGATGGCAGTGCCCCCTCCACATGGCCCCCTTCTCTGTCCTTCTGCCAGGCAGGCTTCTACAGAGTGACCAGGAGGCCTGGCTCCCAAAGAGAAGGCGCCCTTTAATCCAACTCTTGTCACCTAGTAGCTGTGTGCCTGTGGGCAAGTCGTTGAACCTTCTAGGATTTTGCTTTCTCCTCTGAAACACGGGAATAAGATTAGTACCCAGTCACAGGGTTTTCTTGAGGACTAAAAGGCGTAATGGTCGTCATCTCATGTTAGCTGCACACTGCTGTTTCATTCTGACCTAGCTTAGGGAGCCTGAGCCCAGCAGCTCAGCCTCACGGAGCCCTAGCCATGGGCCATCGCCAGTGCTAGTGGGTGGAGTGCCCCGTAGCCACTGAGGCAGGGAACAGAAGAGTAGTTAATGGTGTGATCCTTTCCATCGGGGCTTTCCCCTCTCTCGGGGAAATCGACCACACCGCCTGGGATTGGGCTGCACCCCTCTCCTGCCCAGCTTCTCCTGCTGTGCTCTGGGGCCTGGCATTTCATTGAGACCTGGCCCCTCTCTTTTTCTGTCACTGGTTAAGACAAGAACAGACGGCCATGATGGACTAGAAGCCACCCCTTCTAAGGGAGGGCAGTGCTGTGACCTTGTTCTTTTTCAAGGACTTCCGGGAGTTGAGTCAGAGCCTGCTCCTGTGGCTGGAAAGCACGGAGAACCGCAGGCAGGAGGCGTGCGTCACCGATCCCGGGGCAGACCCCCAGGCCCTCCGGGAGTCGCAGGAAGCACTCACGGTGAGTTCCTGCCTTGGGCGTTTGGTCACAGTTCTCGGGCAAGTGGGGTTTGTCCGACTCGCGTTCAGTTGGCTGCCATCAGCTGTGCCCCCCTCGGCTCTGCAGCAGAGCAATGCGCAGGGACAAAGAGCCAAGGTCCAGAGCAGCGTGCCTTAGACTCAGAAACTTAGGCGCGGACATTTACTGTCTCCAGACACCCCTTAGGTCGACTGCTTACTTGTGGAAAACGACTCGTGCATTTACTTTGTCAGCCGCGGGAAGCTGTGTGAGGTAGTTTCCCTCTGCCTGGTGTGGAAAAGCCTTCCTGGAGGCTAGCTGCCGCGTCACACACACACCCCACAAACCTCCATGCGTCTCCCCATGTACACAAAGTGGTGATTTTAATCCCCAGTGTATACTCGATGGACGTTTTTAACCCTTAAATTCCATCCAAGAGCTCTCATTTACAAGGCCGCGTAGGCTCCCCCTGCAATCTTTGAGACGCCTGCTCTCAGCAGCGCTGCCCTCCGGTGGAGCTTCCTGTAACAATGGGTGGAGAGGTTCGGGATCTGCGCCCCCACCCATTGTGACAGCAGGGGCCCCGGGTGGCCGCCAAGGACTTGGGATAGGTGGGTGGAGTGACGGAGAGGTTGACCTTTTAACTAATCTCAAAAACCACACGTGTCTACTATCAGGCTTCCCTACAGGGCAGCAAGTCCACTAACTCCCCCTGAACGATGGACACCAAGGTGCCTGGTACCCAGCCCAATGCCACCGAGTTGACTCTGACTCACAGCAGCTCTGCGGGGCAGAGTGGGACAGCTCCATAGGGTTCCCAGACTGAGTGTTTAGCAGCCCCCTCTTTCTCCCTCGGAGCAGCCTGGGTTAGCAGGTGGGCACTTAACCCACTGCACCACCAGGGCTCCGTGATTTGCCCAATCACCTTAACTCCGTATGCCTGAAGTAGTGTATGGAAGCCGGTATGAATTTATTGGCCTTAGAATCTCCCTTGACGTCCTGCCACGTTGAGTAACGTCTGGGTCCTCACACATGACTTCTCTCCCTTCTCCGACGCCTCGGGCCTCACGGTCTTCAGGGCGAGGAGGAATACAGAATGGGGGGAGAGGGGTGACTACCTACTTGCTGTCCAGCTGCTACGAGGCAGGCAGATGGGAGTTGACCACCACCCATGATGCCCTGCGGAACTCCCCTGGCACTCAGAAAGCCTCACCAGGCCACACTGGCTTCCCTTTGACAAGCGGCGTGTTCGGTCTCTCTCCTGTCTTCAGCAACTCGAACAGGAGCTACGGGGACGTCAACCTCAAGTCAACAGCTTACAGGAGCTTTCGAGCAGCCTCCTCAGCACGGGCCACGGGGAAGACTACGTGGAGGCTGACGAGAAAGTACATGTGATCGGGAAGAAGTTCCAACAGTTACTTGAAAAGGTGTCTCAAGACTTAATGTCCCTGCAGGGAAGCCAGGTGAGTCCACCTGTGAGTCTTACAAGGGCAGGGGTCCCGTGAGAGACAAACTCTAAAGCCAGGCTCTGCAGGATGTGGGCTGGAGTCGCCCGCAGGCCCCTTCCGAGGGGTGGGTGGCCTGAAAGAGCGCTAACAGAACCGACCTCCCAGTGTGGCGGGCCATGCAGAGCAACTCTGATCCGCTGTCCTCTCCGCCTGGCCTGGGGCTTTCTCCCAGGACAGCTTCAAGTGCACGGCACTGTCTACGGCCACATCTCGCGTGGGTACTTTCTTCCCTTGACAACGTCACTCGGAGCACATGGACTACCCAGGCCATGGCCTCACCAGACGGAGGCCAGCAGGCCCTCCATTCTGCGGTTGCATGTTGGGCTCAAGTCGGTTCTGACTGGCGGCGGCCCCACGGGTGCACAGCAGATAGGTGGTTCCGAGGTGGCTGTGCAGGTCTGCCCCCAAGGCCTCTCCGGAGAGGCTTCACTGCCAACCTTTCAGCCAGGAGTCAAGCACCTGCTTTGCTAAGCTTCCCAGGGACCGCTGCCCCCTCCTTTCCAGAATCTTTATGGTGCCCCCTGGCAACCAAGACGGTACGAAAACCAAAATCCTGCCACCACCAAGTGAGCTGTGCCTCGTGAGGCTCTCCAAAGCCGTGAATCTTGACCAGAGCGGAGAGCCTTCCTCTGGAGAGTCATCTGCTGGGCTTGACTCGCCAACCTTGTGGTTATAAGAGCTCAATTTCTAGCCCATAGGCTGCCCAGGCTCTTTCAGACGATTCTAGGGGGCTCCAAAAAGTGTGGGGAAAAGGGAACTAAAGAAAATGGAATCTTCCCATGAATTTTTGGAAGCCGCTAAGTATTGTCTTTGGCCGACCACCTTCTCACAGCAGACTGGGGCCGAGCTCGCCGCCGTCATTGGTTCCCTCTCGCAGCTGCAAACCTGTTTGTGTCTGTGCTGTGGGTTGGCCTTGCCTAGTTCACATTCCCTGTGGTCTCCGTCAATGGGGGGAGCAGAGGGCCCTCGGTAAGAGAGAAATTTAAGGGGGTCGGGGGCACTCGGAAGACTCAGAAGATGGCCCATTTTGGGAGCTCTGGAGACTGCTCCAAGCCTTACGTTTCCCTGGTCTGACCCTTTGGGTGTGGATTTCAGAACCCAGATCCATCTCTGCCCAGCATTGACCGGATCGACTCCAGGGGCCAGCACCCAGCGGCCAACAGCGGCTCAGCTACTCAAGCCAAGGTGAGAGCCCCCCCAAACCAACTGTGTGCAGGGTTTCCAAGAGTGTGCATCTCGAAAGCAACAGACGGCCTCAACCCTCTGCCACAGTGGTTATTTTCTGAAGTTCTGAGACGACAGTGACTTGGGCCTCAAAGGTGTCCTGTTGAATCAGCCTCAGCCAGCGAGTCCAAAGTTTACCCTCCTCCCCCCCAAATCAACCTACACTTTCTGAAGATTGGATACCAAAGCTTTCTTCTCCTCCCTTCCACTTCATGGGGCTTCGTAGGGGGCTGTGAAAGACGGAATCCTTCCAGCATCGTTGAAGGGGTTCCTCCTTTCGCCCTTAAAACAGATCCGCCCACAGGGATGTGAAACACTCAGTAGTGGAACAAACCGAACTTTCTCCTGTGTCAGGGAGTTTAATCTTCAGTGCTCCAAGAGGCTCCGAGGCGTCGCGGGGAGACCCGTCTGAGGGCATTATTATATAGGGAAGGACGCTCCTCACCGGCAGCACTCACCTCTCCGTTTGCTCACAGTGTTGTTGTTTTTATCCCAGCAGCCTGGGGCTGAGAGCACTGCAGAAGGCAAGGCGCAGGAGGACAACAGGTAATGTGGCCTCGTGGTTGGTGATGTGTCACCCGTTCTATGCCATTCTGACCAATGCCACCCTCGGTGCCCTGGTGTAAACCTGGCTTTCTGGTGTGCTTTTAGCTGGAAAGGATGGGCTTCTCTTCCACCAGTCTTGGGCCCCCTTTGAATATCAAGTCCAGGATTTCTTATGTTAAGTCCTCGGGACCAGGGAACGTGCGTGGATTTTGCTTTCAGAACCTACTGAGTCGCTCCTAACCTCTTCTGTTGGCAGGGTGCCGGGCGCTGGCAGCTCACGGCCACAACGCTCCTTCCTCTCCCGGGTGATCAGGGTGGCACTGCCCCTACAGCTGCTGCTGCTGCTGCTGCTGCTCCTGGCCTGCCTGCTGCCCACCTCCGAAGAGGACTACAGCTGCGCTCAGGCCAACAACTTCGCACGGTCCTTCTACCCCATGCTGAGGTATACCAATGGGCCGCCCCCCACCTAGAGGGTGAGGCCTGGCCTGCAGCACCGCACACAGCCTATTTACCAAGCACCCTGCCCATGGGCCCCCAGCCCCACCCGTGGGCGACTCGTTCCAGGAATTGCTCCTGCTGCAGACCCTTCCCCCAGCAGGGGCCCCTTGCAGTCTCCCCCTGGGGATTTGCAAAGCTAGCTTGTGGGTGGGTTTCAGGGGCTCTAGAGCTGGCAGGTTCCCGAGCAGCTACTACGCACTTTGTGAATTCTAATTCCTTTATAAGGCACCGTCACAACCATGTCGCTGCAGCATTCACCACGTAATACATAGTGTAACATCAAGCCGGCAGGTTCTGCCTTAGAAACAGTTCCGAAATCCACACATGCGCCCCTTTGTCGATGGACTGAAACAATCGTTCTGAGACCGTTTAGGAGCGAGCCTTCCTGAACTCCAGGTGACAGAACCCCAAATACTCTGCTGGACTTCGGTCTACTCTTTTATATCACTCAAATTTTTCCAAGAAATTATATTGCATGCATGTGATCATTGTGCATATTTTTTTAATAATGCTCAAGCTGTATGAATAATGTAAACTTTGATTTTTTTAAGAAAAAAAGAAATCCGATTTTAGCTGTGATTTTGGATCACATGTACAGTGCAATGCCACACGGCAGGCTTGCGAGGGATGTTTTTGTAAGTTAAATTTTGTAAGCCTTTTCACACTCAAGATGATGCTTCAAGTTTTGTTGAACTGTGTGGTCACCGGGGATTGGTATAGAAACTTGAAGTTACTTGTGTCATGTACAACTCAGATGTTTCCAATTAAAAAAAAAAGCTAAACTCCAAACGGTTGGACTGATTCTTTTGTGTGTGTGTGTGTGTGTGTGTGTGTTTAGCTGACTGAGTTTAATTCCAAGTTTTATGTTCTTTTCACGTATGAGGTCTTGAATCCAGAGCCTGGGGGTGGGGGGCAGGGGGGCCTTGTCAACGTGAATCCCTCAGAGGGGCTGGAGGAGCAAGGGGCAGTCGGACAAGCAGCAGCTGCATGGCTACCGGAGAAAGGCTCTTTCCACCCAGTGGGTTCCATTCCCAGCTCCCTGCAGAGAGAATGAATAGGTGACTGGGCATCCTACCGAGGTGACAGGCAATGCCACCTGCCTTCCATGTGTCACCAGTGTGAAAGCGGGCCAGGCTGACTTGTGGCCAGAGTCGTCCGCAGGCATCATGTTCGCGTGCCTCTTCCTGGGCTTGCACTGGACCCTCAAAAGCTCTGTGCCCGGAGCAGAATAGGATTCAGAACAGAATGTGAACCAGTTAGTGATGGTCTTACCTTCAGCCCCCAACAAAGACATTTTTTAAAACCAAACTTCTGGTGGGAGAAAGCACTTTATTTAGCGTGTGCCATGTAACACTTCTGTCAGCCAACAGTCCGACGAGCGTCAAAGACACAGAACGGGAAGGTTCTCTGGAGGAACGGGAAGCAGGAGTCAAAGCCTGCTTTCAAACCAGAGCAGTCGTTTTTTACTAAAAGTTCCAAATCAACAAGCTGGTTTCAGGATACAAAGCATTTATCTGAAAAAGGGTGAAGCCAGCCGGTGGGCTCTGGGTACACAGGACCCATGGTCCTGGCATTTAGATCCACCAAGAGCAAGCGCAGCAGCATGACTGGGGACTGGGCTAGCGCTGCCCAAAGCAGAGGGGCCTGTGGGCTGGCCCTCTGGCAGAGAAGGCCTTTGGGGTTACTCAAACCCAACAGGTCCTGGGCCCCAACCAAAAGGGTGAGAAGCAGATTGCATGTTACAGAAACAAGACGCATCAGAGAGCCGCCACTAGAGCCCGAGTCCCGGTGACTCTGAAAGCTGCACAGAATAACTGGCAGGTGTTCTCACCCTACAGTAAAGCATCCAGTGCCTAAGGGATGTGAACATGGTACATGAGCAAATTTCCAAAGCACATACTCGACGAAAACACGTTTGAGAAAAGCAAGGGCAAATACAGGGAGGTGACGGCTGTGCCCACTAACTTAGGAGCCTAGGAGAGAAGGGCAAGGGCAGAATACATTCCCACCTGTCACCACTGCTGTCCTGTCAAGGATCCTGCGGGCCCCATCCAAGCCAGGCCGACAACGTAGCTAGAGGTGCAGCTGGAGGCAAAGATGACCTGCCCCCATGGCACGGCCACTCAAGCTCAAGAAGTGACTCCTTCCCAAGCAGTCCTGTTGCAGAGCCTCGCTGGCCAGGCAGGTAAAACATACTTGGCCAGAAGTAGTGTGAGGGCTTCTAGCCGGTCAGTGTAGCACGCTGGGCCTGTAACTGACACAAGTGGAAAAAGGTAGGCCTGAGCCTTCATGTCACAGGTGCTGTGCAAGCTGTCTGCAGGGGGTGCTGGACATTTGGAGGGGCATGCCAAAAGTGGACCTCCCCGCTTAACCGGAGCAGCTGCGCCGGTCAGGATGCATGTGATGAAGGGATTATGCAATTGAATAATACTTTCTGTTTTAAAAGTTTTTTAACTAGTCAAACTCGATCAGTGTCTGTACTTAAACTGGACATGTGTCATGTTACACTGAGCTGTTTATCAGCTTGAGCAAGCGGAGTTTCTGCAGCTGAAAACTCTTGGGAACAGTAATGATGGGGATTAACTGAACAGGTGAGGAGCTGGGAACTCTGGCACAAAACAAGTGCTTCACGAACACTTTCAGGTACTAAATATGAGGGGGGTTTTTATTTCCTTCACATAACCTTGATTTAAAAAAAAAAAGATTTCAGCAGCTTAAAGAAATGTGTCCAATCTTATTAAATAGAAATATTTCATTTCCAACTGGAAATGTGCTGGCAAGTGAACCTTGTTTCTGAAAGGGAATGTATGTCATCTCCTTTTGCAGGGGCATTCCTTAAGACACTGTCAGAGATAACAAGCACTACGATTTCATCACCCCTTTCCAGAGTACACACGCCAGTCACTTTGTGCATTCCGAATGGTCCTCGAGATTTGGACCAGGATTTTTAGTTTTTAAGGAAAGCCAGCTGAGATGGTCTTCTCGGCTCCTCCCCAGCAAACCCATTTCTCATCAGGTCCCATCTTATCTTCCACCTGGAACAAGAACTAACATTTTTACTAAATTTCTTTTTCACCAAATCCACTCTATAAATATTCTGATAAGAAAATATGTTAAGATAGCACTAGGGTATAAAACAATTCTTTCTCATTATAAATACTTCTCCCTAAAAATTCTATTTTTGAGTCACATTCACACACAGACGGGTCTTCTTTCAGTGCTGGGCTCATCAAATCGATTCCATCTGGCCAGTAAGCTTGACACCCTGGGGTGTGTGCAATCACTCATCCCTCCAGCGACCACCATGCCGTGTGCACTACCATAGCGGGAAGGGCTCTCGAAGGGCTCTCCTCTGCTGGCTGATGTGGCCGCGGTGGCTGCTACCCCGCTGTGAGCCGCACTGCTCACAAAAGGACCCCCTCCCCCAGTGCTGTTGAGTTCATCCCCACCACCAACCTGCAGCACAGAAGAGAAGCACCCCACTGGGTTCCCAAGGCTACTCCATAGAAGCAGGCCCCACAGCTTTCTCCTGGGGAGCAGCTAGCCGGTGGATTCAGATGCCAGCCCTGTGGTGAGCAGTAGGGTGCATTAACCACTGACATTGGGGTCCCTGGCAAAGCCCAGAATAAGTCCCAGTCCTATAAATCATGGCTCTTTTTCCATGCTGGGCCCCTTGGGTCCACAGAGTCCTAAAGAAGGGCAGCTGAAGGAACTAGAAGATTTTAAACTACCACAATCCTCCATGAAAGTAATGTCTTCCCCAGCTGGCCAGCAAGCCTCTGCAAGTGAAAATCAAGCCCGAAGACGGCGTGAATAGAAAGTTCTTACTCTGCGCTGCCAAACCACACCCTGCTGGGATGTAGGTCCCAGCATGCCCACCTGCTCCCTAGTAGACAATCCTCCTGGCTTTGACAGAATCATACGAGCATGTGCTATCAGTCCTCACAGGCCTGTGAGGTAGTTCTGTGAAGCTGGTCAGTTGATCGTCGTCGTGGTCTTCAAAGCTACGTCACGTGGTCCCGAGGGGCGTGCTGTTGTGAGGTGTCACTCAGTCGGTTCCAACAGAACGACGCACAGCCCAGACCTGTGCCAACTTCACCATCACTCCTCGCCTGGACCACCGTGTCAGTCCATCGCGTTGACAATGTCCTTCTCCAGGGACTGGTCTCTCCTGGCCACATCTACGTGAGACCCAGTCCCACTGTCCTCACTTCTAAAAGCGCATTCTGGCTGTCCTTGCTCCAAGACAGACTTCTTTGTTCTTCGGGCAGTTCATGGTATATTCAGTAATTTTCACCCAGCACCGTAATCCAAATGCATCAATCCTTCTTCGGTCATATCCTATTCGGTGTCTAGCTTCCACAGACATATGAGGTGATTGAAAAGTCCCTGGCTTGGGGCAGGCCCATCTCGGTTCTCAAAGTGACAGCTTTACTTCTGAACACTTCGAAGAGGTTTTCGGCAATAGATTTGCTCGATGCAATACATCACTTAATTTCTCCACTGCTGCTGCTCTGGCTGTTGATATGATCCAAGAGGGTACCAGGCTCTCTTCTAGGGGAAGTTTAGGCAGCACACTGAGGGGGAGGCCACTCCCTTCAGCGCCGTGTTCTCCCTCTGCCTTTTCTACTCTGCAACCCTCCCAAGTCAAGTCCTCATCATTCATTCCAACACCTTTCAGGAGCTGTTTCCAAAGGGGTGAGAGGGTGGGGGACGAGAAAAGAGGCACCGCAGTGCGATCCTACGAGGCCGCCCTTGATACAAACGGCTCCAATGCACCGCACGGTATCCAGAGCTTTCTCATCAGGCTCTCAGCTCCCAGGGCTGTGGGGAAGATGGTAGGCGACCGAGCCTGCCAGAGTGATGGGGGGCCACCACACAGCAGAAAAAGAATGAAGCCCAACGACTTCGGAACAGGGTCACACTGCACCCCAAGTTGGGTCAGTCTCTGCCCTTCAAGGCGGGTGGCTCACTGAGACAGGGGTGTCTGGCAGCCCTCCTTGTTCTTACTCTCCTCCTCTGCCGAACTGCCCTCGGCCCCTGAGGACTTGTGGCCCCCGAGTGTGTGGGCATTCAGCATCTCCAGCAGCAGGTCGTAGATGGGGACCACATTTTTGCACTTCATGCTGAGCAGGTGTTCCATGCCTTTGTTACTATGAAGACAAGAAGGGGCGGAGGTTCAGGGGAGCGCTGAGTCTTCCCAACTCCCCTGCCAGAGCCAGGGCACCCCACCCCGTCCTGTGCCCACCAGCCTTTCCCCTTTGTTGGCTTGCTGCTCTTGACACCCACCTCCTCGGCTGACGACAAGGGCAGTGGCTGTGTCACCGCTGGCCACAGAGGCCCGGCACCGTGCCTGCAGAGAGGGCGTCCCCAAACCAAACGGACTCATCTGGACCTCCCACGGAGTTTCTGAGTCTATAAATCTTGAGCAGCTGATGGGTTTGAACCACCGAGCTTGCAGTTTAGCAGTGCAACGCTTAGCCAACAGCACGGAGTCGGTGGTCTGGCAATGGGCAATCTATAACCAGATGAAGGTTGGTGAAAAATTGGGGAACGGTACGGGTGATGGTTGGGCATAGTGATGGGTGTAACTAAAGGTCGCTGAACTGGACATGCAACGACGTTTGTTCCAAAGAAGAACTGGCGCGGCCGAGATACTTGTCATTTCCCAGCGATCTAAGTGGCCCTCCTCCCACAGATGGCCTAGCAGCCTCAGCCTTGGGGGTAGAGGGCAGGGCAGCAGCTCATTCAGGGGAGGGACTGTCCCCGTGAGAACTTCATAGACCAGCCATCACCCCAGCAGCTGGGACAGCACAGGAGGCCATCCAGATCCCATACGGGGCCGCGTGACATTCACACGGCGCTTATTATGTGCTTACACTCAGTCTCTGGATACAGGTGTGTGTGCGGAGGAAACCCTTTCTCCCACCCCCGATTCCCTTCAGAGGTGCACTACGCCTCAAACTTGCAGACACTTCCCTCAGAGCTCTTCACCCTCCCCGGAACACCCCCTCAAGCCCTGCCCTGGAGGTGGGGTGGGGTTAGTACCTGGCATGTCTGACGTGAGACAGGAGCATCAGGAGGTTGGCCAGGCGCATGGACTGCTGCTGGGTGGAGATGCCGCTCTTGGCAATCACCCAGACCAGAGCGTCGGTCACAGCATTCAGCAAATGAGTCAGCTTCTGGTTGCTCTCAGCCTCCTGGGTCGCTGCAGTGAGAGGGTACATGCCTGGACAAAGGATAAAAGCCACGAAGTGAGGTTCTGAGAAAGAGCAGCCACACACACATGCTCAGCTGTTAGGAAGCACCCAGCATTTCCCAGATGGCAGGCCAAATTGAGCCGGGTTTTCGGACAGGACTGCGTAGTGACATCTAAAAGCATTTAGCATCCCTGTGCTAGGCTGGGCTGCTGCCTGCGTGCCAGCCCCCCTCACTGAGCTGGCTGGATAAACTTGGTTCCATGCAGGTCGGATGTCACCAGGTGCCCACCAGCCACAGCCACAAACCTACCTGGTCACCTCACACCGTTACGTGGTGCTTCGGCTTTGCAGCAGCAAGTGCACATCTAGACCCAGCCAGAAAGTGAGATTATCTGACTCCCGCCCTTCCCCCCAGGGTCCCTCATCTACATGGGGCAGAACGAATGCCCCGTGATGCGGGGGCTCTGGTGGTCTAGGACAGAGGTCGGCAGACGTTTGAGACGAAAGAGCCGATCCTGACCCTCGCCACAATTTAAAAATTATTCGAGAGCCATGCATACCTTTTTACAAACAAATGAAATCACCATCATCTGAGTAATATCCTTTAGGATTTTCATAAATAAGACTACGATGCTTTCATTTTCAATCTACTGCAGAGCCACACGTACATACCCCAAGAGACGCAGATGGCTCGAAAGCCACGGCTGCCGACCCCTGGTATCGTGGGCTATGAGTTGGGTTGCTAACCTCAAGGTCAGCAGTTTGAGTCCACCAGGGACTCCCAGTGAGAAGGACGAGGCTTTCTGCTCCTGTAAAGACTGACAGCTTGGGAATTTAGAGGGGAGTTCTTCCCTGCTCTCAGGTCCCTGTGAGTGGGAATCGACTGGACAGCAATGAGAGAGAGCCAGAGAGAGGGAGCGAGAGAGAGAGAGAGAGAGAGAGAGAGAGA